TCAGGACATGTTGTTCATCCCATTGCTTTGAGAAAAACTGCACTTTTTCAACAAACAACCAGAGGCTCCTTCTAAGGTCAGGCTGGCTATTATCTATGAAACTTAAGAACTGGTGCCAAATAGGAAAAAAATGAAAAGAAACTTGATAGGGAGGAAAGGAGACAAACAGATCATCTGTAAAGAACAACACATATAAATAAACACGGATGCATAAAGTTACATTTATTAGCATTATATTGATTGATTCTTACTACTAAACCTTCTGCAGATCTTCTGCTTAATATTTGTTCTTCTTTCCCATGGGTTGTGGAACCCCTGCTGTCATGTTGTCTTTGTAGGTACTTGTGTTCTTTAATTGTTTTTTTTTAATTATATATTTTATAGTTTAAATATTGTAAACCACTCATATTCTTCTTGGGGTCAGGCATCTTTAAAATCCAATTAATAATGAGTATTAAGCTGAAGTAAACATCCTTTTTTTTGTCTAGACTGAGGCAACAAATCTTTACACATTTACCTGAAAATAAATCCAATTAAATTCAACAGAGCTTGTTTTGCAGACTTGTACAAGATTACTCCAAATATATATATCCCTTTTAGTCTTCAATTCTAAAGCATACTGGAATACTATCATGTTTCTTGGTAGGCTCATTCTGAAATCTAGGAGAGCCATAAAACAATACGGTGTAATTATCACCAAAATATTGGACCACAATTCTCATAATCCACAGCCTTACCAGCTGCAGATGGGAAACTTAGAAGGAAACGAAGCATAGGCTGTAGCATCTTAAAACCATCCAAATTGTTAATGCTTTAACCCTGGGGTCCTCAACCTTGGCAACTTTAAGACTTGTGGACTTCAACTGGCTGGCTGGCTGAGGAATTCTGGGAATTGAAGTCCACAAGTCTTAAAGTTGCCAAGGGTGAGGACCCCTGCTTTAACCAACAAGTATAAAACTATTTTAGGTGAAAGATCATCTGTACTATTGGTTAATAATGCCATTGAGCCATTGTTATGGCAATGCATTATTGATATATGGCTTTATATTGCCACAGCATGTTGGTTAAAGCATCATGCTCATCCTGCCTTTGCTAACATCTGATCCAAGTCACTGTTGGATGATGCTGTCCTGATTAAGCATCTGTAGTGCAGGATAAGCAAAGGAACCAGTTAATTCCTCTGGCTTTGCTACTCTCCATCAGCAGCATGCTAGCAGCCTGCAGAAAAAAAGGGTAGATCTGACTGCAGGATTATGTCCAACATCTATAGGCTTCTTCCACTATACCGCCTTCTGTTATAATCCAAGACAAATAAAGCAAAACAACAAAAATGGAGTCATGAAAGGATTTGAGTCACAAAGCATTTTTATTTAGGGTATCTTTCCTTCTTTCCTTTCCTTTCCTTTCCTTTCCTTTCCTTTCCTTTCCCTTCCTTCCGAATGGCAGTAAATGTTGACTTCCAAATCTGCTCCTTTGTTCAGAAGGCATTGTACATGTGTGCCTACGGGTATCTGTTGTTCAGGAGGCAGTGGGTAGGGGTGTATCTGTATAGGTGTGTATGTGTTGGTCTTTCAACCACTACCTTGCACACTTACAGCACTGCTACCTGAACAGACTAGCATACTAACTACCATTTACATTTACTGGCTATCAGCTGCTTCTGCCATTTCAGGTGAAACATTGTCACATGGATACAGGAATTTAGAGTAAGCTGTGAGAAAACAGCAAAAAGACTCCTTATGCTAAAGGATAGCTCTTCCATGAATCAAAATAACCACCAGCACAACTCCTGTAAAGTTCAGTTCTACAAGGAAGCAAAGGTAATTAGGGATTGAAGGGGAGGGATATGTATCCATATTTACCCTGAAATAGTCAATAAAACACATCGCTAATCCTACCTATTCCTACTCATTGATTACAGCTCCAGTGTAATGGGTTGATAATCAGAAGAGATTTTACACAATTTTCAGTTGTTGTTTTATTCTGTTGGCTGTTGAAAACACTAATCTTAACACTAATATTGCTACTGACAACTTACAACATTCATATTCATGGGCTGGGGAAAAGCAGAAGGAAATATTGTTCAGATTTATGTTTGGCCATGATTTGGGGCAAGTGGGATATTAGATAATATCGAGTTATGTTGTTAGCCACATGCTGCTCTCTCCAAATTTATAAACAGCATATAAGTACTGTATAATTTTTCACTGCTGCTTCAATCAAATTTCTCATGGAAATCCTAATGGTATTAGCTATACAAACTCCACCATTTGGAGAACAACACTAATCCTGCAAGAGCCGCACTGGTTACTGATGTGTTTCCAGATACAATCCAAGGTGCTGGTGGTCACCTATAAAGCCCTACATGGATTGGGACTGGGATATCTGAGGGATCACTTTTTTTCAAGAGTTGCTAATTGTCCAACTAGGTCAAGCAGAATGGGAATGCTGCAGATCCTGTCAGCCAAAGAATGTCGAATGGCAGGAACCAGAAGGCCCCTGCTCTATGGAACATCTTCTCTTCAGAGATCAGAATGGCCCCAACTCTGTTAGGGTTTTATAAGGCCTTAACAACTGGGCTATGTTTCCCAGCCTGGGGCACTGAATGTACTAAGGAGCCCATTTCCTGGCTACATTGCTAAAAGCCAAATATCTTGCTCTTGTGTATCTTGACTGTTTTAAAGTATTTTTTAATCATAATATATTATCTGAATTGTAAGCTGCCCAGAGATGGGCAGCTACAGAAATTGAACAAACAAACAAAATCAAACAAACATGAAGATTTTTAGACTGTTATATTTCCCACTCTGAACCATGCCATTGAGGGGCAAGTCCTGTGGTTTCTAAAAGTAAATCCTTTCCAAAATTAAATCCTTTCAACTGGAGGTAATTCAAGGGAACTTAGACATGGCATGCCAAATGAAACAGTTCTGTTTGGAGTCTGGAACACTTTGAATCACTTTCAATTCCAAACATGGAATTTCCAATTTATAGAATTTACAGAACTGCCACAAAAGGCCCAGTCTATATGAGATTCAGGTGACTGGATGGGGAATTGAACCTTCTGAAATTCCCTGAAGAAAGTTTGCATATACCGTTTTTGCAAACAAGTTGCACTTACATGTAGCTTATCTGATATGTTAGAACTGGCAATGTATTTCTTCTTTATTATTTGAATGCAAATTAGTCTGTTTTTTTCCTTCTTCATTAAGCTAGGACTTAAATCTAGAAGCATGTTCTGTAAACAATAGCAGGAATGTTTCACACTTAATTTAACTTATGGCATTAGTCATAAAGTTTCTTTTGAACTTTCTTTAACCTGAGAAGATGTGATGTTTTCAACAGTTTATCCTTTAGACTTTAGAGAATGGAGCCTGTTATCTGGGTTTTTTTACACAGTTGACTTGCAGTGGAATCAATTTATCTGTCAACACAAGTTGAAATCTGTGGTAAGGAAGATAAACAACTCTGCAGATATTTTACAATAGTGCAGTCAAGAAAACTTTTAGGGTATTCTGTGTAGATTCTCTCATAACAGTGGTGTTTCAGGCTGACAGCAGATTGTGCTAGATCAGGCTCTCCCAAAAATGTACTGGGCTCCATGGGACATGAGTGACATTGCCATTTCGTATGCATTTTTGACTCAAGCTGAGATGCTGGTGACTTCATACAGTTGTGCTTTTGTTCCCCTTTGTTTTTACAGTAGTACAGAAATGGTTTGCCAATGCCTTCGTCCAGAGTGCTTCTGATTTCCCAGAATAAGCTACTGGTAATCCTTTATTCAAGCAGTACAGAGCTCAAAGTGGCTTAGTGTCTGTAATTGGTTATTATTAAGTTATAAATCTGATTAGCTGGGCTTGTATGACTTGGTTATCCATAAATAACTATAGCCGATGGTGAATTTAATCAACCTTTTTTTGTAATTTTGTACAACATGCCAAATTAAAAGTGATTATAGCAGCAGAATAAGAGTCGGAAGGGACCTTGGAGGTCTTCTAGCCCAACCCCCACTCAAGCAGGAGACCCTATACTATTTCAGATAGTTGTCCAATCTCTTATTAAAAACCACCAGTGATGAGCACCCAGTACTGTAGTTCCTAACTCAGTTTAATAATAATAATAATAATAATAATAATAATAATAATAATAATAATAATAATAATAATAATAATAATAATAACTGCTTCCATCCTGCAACGATATCTGTAATACCATCAAACATCCACATCTGCCTATCCCAGGTCCAGGGTAAGGACTCGATAGGTAGACAAAATGCCAAATCCAGTCTGAACATCTGGCTGACTGTGCGATAATCCATAATAATAATGATAATAATAATAAAGTTGGAAGGGACCTTGGAGGTCATCGAGTCCAACCCCCTGCTCAAGCAGGAACCCTACACCATTTCAGACAAATGGCTGTCCAGTCTCTTCTTAAAAACTTCCAGTGTTGGAGCATTCACCGCTATGATTTATGATCTAGGAACAGTGTGGCTTAACCTTGGCAGCTTTTGAGTTGTGTGGACTGCAGCCAGCATGCTGGGGAAGTTGCCAAGTTGAGAAACAACGCTCGAGAAAGTTGTAGATAAAGGGTATTTGAGCAAATAAAAGAATCGGTGATAACCATCAGCCAACGGTTCCTACGGGCTTCCAATTTGCTTTCCCCATGCTGCTCCAAATGGTCCCTCTGCGTGAAAAGAGGAATAAATCAAGTTCCGCGCAGCGCGTCATCCCGGCGGCGGCCGGTCAGGAATTGTCTCCGAGCCCAGCCAATCAGAAAGTCGAAGCAATGGCGAGCGCGAGCGCCCCCTCTCGGTTCCATACGTCTTTTCCTCCGCTCCGCGCCTGCGTTGCCTTCTTCTTCTTCTCTTAAGTCCCGCCCACTCCGTCCGTAGCTCGCTCGCGTCGGCAAGTTAGCTTGGGGATTCGCTGAGAAGGCTGTTGCCAAGGTGACAAGCCGGTGCAAAGCCCGGCCTCGGCAGTGTCGAGGGCGCTGCCGACGGTTCGGAGGTGGGATGAGGCAGCTAAGGAAAGGCGGCTCCGGAGGAGGCCCTGGACCCTCCCTGGGCGGCCAAGAGTTCAGCAGTGAGTGTGCGGCGAGGGAGGACGGAGTAGTAGTGACTACTAGGCGAAGAGAAGATGGGGTGATGATGGGAGGAGGAGGAGGAGGAGGAAGAGAAAGGCTTGGGCCAGGGGTAGGCAACCTTGGCTCTTTTATGACTCGTGGACTTCAACTCCCAGAATTCCTGAGCCAGCCATGCTGGCTCAGGAATTCTGGGAGTTGAAGTCCACGAGTCATAAAAGAGCCAAGGTTGCCTACCCCTGGCTTGGGCGGTCACGGCGCGTAGAAACAGGGATAGGTTTTCCTGCGGAACTCGTCCGGAGCAGAACCGGACTTGTGGGTCCCTTCAGCTGTTTTGGACTTCAGTTTTCCATATTGGCTGCATGGGCTGGGGCTGATGGGAACTGAAGTTCCAAAGCATCTGTAGAAACTAAATACAAGAACAAACTTATAGGTCGAATTTTTTTCCCGGACTTCCCCCCCCCCCCCCTAGGTACTGTTGCATTATGATTTGATTTTGCGCACTCCTGTTCAAAAGAAAGACTCGGACATTTATTTTCAATATTGCCACTCAACCCATTATTAAGTTGAGAATAAGTCCTACGAAGCCTAGGCATAAGGTGGATATGGAATTGTTTGGGCTGAGTGGCCAAAAGTTAAATCTTCTAAAACTTCAATTTCAATGGGCAACAGTTAAATATGTGCAGTAACGTTCCAATTTTATTTATTTATTCGTTACTGATTATACTTCAAAGACTCAACATTTTAGTTTTTTACATATTTTATTTTCTCAACAATCTCTTGAACTAGGAAAATATGATAATGACAAAGTTACCCAACAACTGTCCAGGCTTGGAGTAACAATTGGAATATGGGGGTTTAGTTGATAAGCTAATGGCACGCTTCTGCTGACAACATGATTGTTCTCTTGTAAGAGAGGTTTCTAGTCCTTTAGAATCATCTGCACTGGTAGTTTTTATTTTGTAAGTATAAAATAGGTGTGATGACTCTGTATGAAATAGCCTACATTTTCCCTTTGCTTTTTACAACGAAAACATTTTCATAGATGAACTACGTGGGTCTAATTAGTACATTTGAACTATTAACATTGTTGCAAAATAATTATTTGTAATCATACTATGAAGTGTGGAGTTGGAGAATTTTAATCTTAGCATTAGTGTGCATAGATGAAGCAATGATTCTACAGTAGGGGAGATATTTCTTTCCTTTGTACATTTATATAATTTGATCAGAATGAAGCACAGTTAGTTACATGGCGCTAATCTTTTGTATGTAACAAAATAATATATTTAAACATTCTACGGTTCAGATTTATTACTGTGAAGTTAAATATTTCTTCCTCTAATTTGGTGAGAAGTTTAACGAAGTAATCTGGTGATTCAGTTACTGAATTTTGTTCAGTAGCACAAAGCTTTTGGGTTTACAGAAAGTGTATTTTTATTACTGAAAAGGATTACATCCAGTATTTTGACTTCATTTTGCACAAGCAGACATAACTACTCTACATAGTATTCGATGGGTATACCCAATTCTTCAGAGGATTGAAGTGTTAGAAGTATCTTCCATTAAATTAGTAAAATATTTTTAAGGAAGTGAAGAAAATATTGTGCAATAAATGGTGGAATGCTCTTAAAAACTTAATTTTGCAGTGAGTTGAACAAATTTTCAGAAAATATAGAAATGATGACAGATGTACAGACACAAAGAAAATAAAGTTTAATTCATGTCAAGTCTAAAGAAGGCTTTAGTTTTCAATAGGACTGCGTGAATGTGCAATATCTGTTTTACTACCTTGGTAACACCTTGTCAGTGTTTAGCAACAACAACAACAATTTATCCTGTAAAAGTAAACAAGGAAGAAGACTGAAGGAAACCCTGCTGATTTCAGATACATTTCTTTTTTTTTCATAATTAAAATACCTTCAATTTACAATTGTTAATAGCAGAGTTTTGAGGGGGTAGCATCTAACTCTGCCTTTTCAAGGCATTTTATTATATACTTGTATATGAAGAAACAGATTTTCTGGTCTCTTTTATTTTAAAAAAGTACATTTTATGAATTTACATTTGTGGCCACTTTCCATCAGTCCTAGCATTTGAAAAAAGATTTAAAGTTATTTCCAGATTAAAAACTAAATATAACAATAATGAATATTGTATAGCTGTTGTTACGAATGTTCTTGAAGTCAGAAGCAAATGTTTTTGCAATATGAGAATAACTGGGCTTTTACTTGCATAATATATATGAAGTCTGCCTTTGATTTCTGTTTGTGAGAATTAAAACTTATTTTGTTAGTTAAAAGTTATTTTGTTTTACTGTTTCAATGAGAAAACATAAAAATGAAAAGTAAAGTTGAGCATCCATAGAATATAGCCTTTAAAAATAAAGTTTCTATGAATAAGGCCCATCAAGTATTAACCTAGAATAATTAAGAGTTAATAGCACAATCCAGTGATTTGCTGGTCCAGTTATTTATAGGATTTAGTATTAGGAGTCCAGCATGAGATTTATGTGAAATGCTTTATATATCTTAAAGCATCTTTATAAGCATGATCTCCATAGACTACGATAACTGTACTTGTTAACATGCTGTTTTTATTATTATTTTAATATTAAAAAGCCACACCAAAGTCAGAAATATGGAAACGTATTTTATGCATAGAAACAGTCATTCAGCCCAATTTTTAAAAACATGCCATTACGTATTGACATACCAGTAGAATGATATTAATCAGTGTTTGCATTGTACCAACAGAAAACCAGAATCTATAAATAATCTGTTTTAGTGGAACCTGTGCTCAGCAAACACATAATTTCTCACATAGTGATAAAATCCAGATTGGGAAATATAGTTCAGCTTTCTCCATCTTTGACAATAATATGTTGTGCATTTTTTCCCCCCTGATTTTTTCTCCTGCTAAGAATTGCTGAGTTGTGTTAATATGTCCTCTGTCTGTCCTCTCCTGTAATCCTTTCTTAATGCTGCTTGAGTAGATTATTAGTAGCATGTTCTCATCAATAAGGAACAATCTGTTGTTTACAGTAGAATCTTTCCTCTTTCTTCCTTGGGAATATGCCAGTTCTGCATCTGAGTCAGATGAGATTGTATAAAATACTCTGTAGGCCTGTACGGAAGTTACCTGATGGAATAATAATAAATACTTATAGAGTATTTAAGAGTATGAAAGTATTGAGAATCAGGTATAGAATTAAATAATAAATGGACAGTTATGTTTTGCCCCTTGCTCCCTTTTTCAGGCTGTATACCCTCTTCTATACTTCCTCTGTTATGTCATTTCATCTGCAGTGAAATGCATCAATTTTTTAAAATAAATTTAAATTAAATTTCCAGTTCTAACCTCTAAGAGAACCCTCTATATATTCCAATATTTGTTTCACTTTCTCTTGCACCTTATGTACCCAGTTAATTCTTACAGCATATAAGCTTCCTTTGTGAATTTCAGGTATAGATTAATGGCAGTGTCAGTATTTCATTTTATCACTATAATATATAAAACGTGTAAGAGTATTCCAAAAATATATGTTTCATAATTCAGCCCATTGATGGATTTCTTTGTTTTCTTTATTTTCTTCATTAAATTCAAGAATAAAAATAAAGGAAGTAGAAGTATTTGTTCCCATATTTTTAAATACAACCAGCCAGGAAATCTGAATCTGCAAGATAATAATACTACACAAGAGGTGTGATATGTTAAAAAAAAAAAGACTTTACGTAAAAATATGAGTATGAATAAAATAAGTGAAAGAAATATGACTAAACCTCTTCATTGCATTTCTCCCTCTTTAAAACAAATCAAATGATAAAAAGCGTATGTTGCCTAGCCTTTTCTCCCAGACATGGGTAAATGTATAATTCTAACGTGTATAATAATTACGTTGGATATATTCCATACACAAAGTATAGTGTGCTTGCTTGCTTGCTTTTTTAATATATTTATTTACTTATCTATTTATATCCTGTCTTTATTATTATTACAAATAAGTCAAAGTGGCAGGCATATCCAACACACCTCCTTCCTATTTTGCCCACAACAACAACCCTGTGAGGTGGATCGGGCTGAGAGAAAGTGACTGGTCCAAGGTCAGCCAGCTGATTTTCATGGCTAAGGCAGGACTAGAACTCACAGTCCTACAATTTCTAGCCTGGTGCCTTAATCAATATTAATAGATTCAGAATACAGATAGAGTCCTGTGCAACTATAGAGGTAAAAAAGGATTCTGGTAGTCCTCGACTTACAATCACAACTGAGCCAAACATTTCGGTTGTTAAATGAGATGCCCCATTGTATGGCTTTTCTTGCTACAGTTCTTAAGTGAATCACCACAGTTAATAAGTTAGTAACCTGGTTGTTAGGTGAATCTGACTCCCCCATTGACTTTGCTAGTCAAAAAGTTGCAAAAGGTGGCCACATGACCCTGGGACACAGCAATGGTCATAAGAAAGAACCAGTGCCCAACATCCGAATTTTGATCACATAATCATGGAGATGCTACAAAGGTTGTAACTGTAAAAAATGTTCATAAGTCACTTTTTTCAGTGCTGTAACTTTGAACGGTCACTAAATGAGCTGTTGTAAGTCGAACTGCGGTAACTTGCCAGAAAGTTTTGTTTTGGGTCCAATCGTCATTGAATGCATAATTTTATATTAAGAATATTAATTTAGTATTGTATATTATACCAGTGCAATCCCTTGTGTTTAACATTTCCTATATAATATGTTTTGTTATCAAGGATCCATGTAAGGATGGCAGCTTTTCTCCATTTGCTACTATATTATTTCTGGATAGAGTGGTTATAATATTGAAAGAAGACTGATGACTTAAGCAAGTACTATGACAGGTTACCTACTCATATAACAGCACCATTCTGAAAAAGAATCACTCAAGATTTTTGAACATTTGGCTACCTTACTTTACAAAATGAACCGTTATACAACTCTGAAGCAACTTGGGGATGGAACCTATGGCAGTGTTCTGATGGGGAAGAGCATTGAATCAGGGGAGCTTGTGGCCATCAAAAGGTATGTGCCATCATATCCTCATCTTCGTTTAATGCTTAACAGCGGAGTCCTATACATGTCAGCTTCTGAGATCTCTGTGAGATCAAATTATATGATTGTGCTGTCATAACTTTTTTTCCACTTTGCTGCATATGCCTTTCTTTGCTGTATTTACACTTTCTTACACATGCTGCTTAGGCAGACTAACCTTGTTACTTTACGGTAGCATTTCTTCATAAGGTCAACAAAAGTTGAACTTAACTCAAAGGACACTTTACCTTCAACCTATTATCTTAAAGCATTTTGACATTGAAAATTTCAGGTTATTGTTCTACTTGGTTTTGGCTAGCAGGATGAAAATAAGAGAGAAGCAGTTTTGGTTATTCTGTCCTTCCCCCATTTGAAAAAATTGAATTTCCTCCTTGTGAAACTGATAGAAGATAATAAATCTGCACTAGCTTTTGAATTTATTTAGATGCTATACAAATTTGGGACCATGTTGGTGAATTAGGAGGAATTTTGAATATTACAAACAGTAACTGTCAAAATGGTCCCAAGTAAATCTTTTAATTCAATTCTGGATTTTTAAAAGAAATAACTTCTCAAAACAGGGGTATTTCTCCTGCTAGTCTTTCCTTAAAGTAAAAGCCTGTGTAATAATATTTTGAAACTCAGTATATTTTAACGGTTTTACAAAATATTTTTTGGGAGGGTACGATTCTCTTATTTTAAAGATTTCTTTTAACTTTTATTTCAGAATGAAAAGGAAGTTCTATACTTGGGAAGAATGTATGAATCTGAGGGAAGTTAAGGTAATTAGAGCAGTATGATAATTTTAATAATATAGGTAGACCTGATAAATTACATTCAGTGTAAATACTCCAGATTTGCTATTCTAATTCTTTTCTATAATCAATATCTAGAAAGGAAAAAAATGAATTGTTAAGATCTTGGCTAACTGGTATTGGTAAAAGTCATTTATAGATTGAAGGCTTCTTAAAGTACCCTTGAAGAAAGCTATTTGCTGACTAAAGGCTAATAATTTGTGCTTCTGTTCTGTTTGGTTTGCTTTATACGAGAATAGTTTATGCAATTGGATTTGTCTAGGCTAAAATGCAATCTCCTCTCCCCTTTTCAGCCTTCTCTAGTGGAGCTTTTTGTGAGCAATAATTTCATCTGGATTGTATAGACTAGATCAGACATGTTAAACTCAAGGCCCATGGGCCTGTGATGTATTTAGATCTGGCCTGCAAGCAGACTAGGAGGAGGAGGTTATTGACTATGTAGTGAGGGGGTGTGAGCTGAAGCGGCACCAGGACCAGAGAGGTCTGAGGGAGAGTTAGCTGGAGCTGCAATGTTGCTGGGCCTCTGCGCATGCGGCTCCAGCTGATTGGGGCTACTGGCCCGCAGTCTTTGGGGGAAGAGTCAGCTGGAACTGTCAAACTGCTGAGGCTTGCGGGGACCCTAAAATCAGCACACGCAACTACAGCTGATGAATGCTGCGTAAAAAGGCCAGCCAGGCAGTGAGTGAACGCATGAGAGAGGAGAGGATATAAAAGGAGGGGTTTTGGTGGGAACGAGGAGCAGTGAGGGGGAGAGAAGGCGATAGGAAGGAGAGGAGAGATGTTGGTGGGGCAAGCCTGAGGAAAAGAAGGGGATAGGATAGGAGAGGCTTCTATGGGGCACGCCTGAGGGAGAGAAGGCACCCATAATGTTGAGGCGGCTCTCAATGAAATTGAGTTTGACACCCTTGGGCTAGATAAACAAGGAAGAAAAGGCACCCAGGCAAATTTAACTCACATATAGATTTTATGGCAATATACTTGGTAAATTTTAAAGATCTACACATTAGGTTTAGTTTGCATCCTAAGTCATAATGGAAATGAAATCTGTACGCCTTTATAATTGGTAAATACTTCTATTCAAGTTTGAACTAACCTCTCCCATGAAAACTGTTTGTTTTCTTGTAGTCTCTGAAAAAACTTAATCATGCCAATGTAATAAAGCTGAAAGAAGTCATTCGAGAAAATGACCATCTGTATTTTGTTTTTGAATATATGAAGGAAAATCTGTATCAGCTAATGAAAGACAGGTATGTTTAGAACCAATTTGCTGTTTTCACATTCTTTAATAATTCTCTGTGCATCACAAACCACACTGATAGTTTAATGAAATATAACTTTTCATGTTTATTAGATTGTTTAAAAATCCCACCTGCATTTTTTTTATTAATAAGATAGCAAACATGGAAAGAAATATTCCTTTCTTTCCTATTTGAATCACAACAACAACCCGATGAGTGAATTGTCCTGAGAAATAGTGACTGGCTCAAAGTTATCCAACCAGTTTTTCATTCTTAAGGCAGGATTACTTTCCTGGTTTCTAGAACAGCACCTTAACTATTATATCAAACTGGCTCTCCATGTTAGACATAATGGTGAAAAACCATAATGAATTCATATTATACAGTAAGCCAGGAATGGAAAACCCCTGGCACTTATGCTACTCTCAGATTATAATATTGGTATTTGGTAGCAAAAGATTGCATTTCAAATGGCATCTTTTTTTTCTAAAATAAAGAATTTTTACCCCTAAACCTCTTTATTATTTCTCCCCCAAATAAGCCACACACTTGATTGCTACTTCATCATAAGCCATAAGAATAATAAGATCCAAAGACTGAAACATTTTTCTAGTGTACCAAAGTTATGACAGGCTATGTAGGATTTTGAAAGAGGAAATAATGCACTTTTCTCCTTTTTCCAACTGAGAACTTTTCCTGGTTCTTAGTATTTTTTATTAATAGAAGATCTGTTTTTGTTGAAAATTGAATTCTTTAAGGTCACTTATCTGTTACAATGATTTTTATTTTTAAAAAGTGGTTAAGGCATTGCATAAATAAATAGTAAAGCATATTTGTTTTTATCTGAAAAAAATCCTGTTTTTCTTCACCTTGTTAATTTGTTGCATTACAGAAATAAACTGTTTCCCGAGTCTGTCATCAGGAACATTTTGTATCAAATATTACAAGGGTTAGCTTTTATCCATAAACATGGTGAGTACAGTGTATTGCTGCTACTGTGTAGTATTACAGTATGCTAATGTATGCCTTATCAAACAGGAGATATAATAGACATGTGATGTATGGTACCAATATTTCAGTGATAAAGTGTTTAAAATAATTGCTAATTATTTTAGAGAAAAATCAGATTATTTTGAGAATCAAATGTTTCAGAAGCAAAATCCCAGTAACTACATTAGTTGATTGTTGGTAGTCAATGTTACAGTTTCTTGACATAGGGTTCCATCCAGAGCAATGCTATATTTGGGCACAAAAAGCTACTCCAAAGGGAAGTATGGATTAGGTTTAATCTTTTGATATCTTGTAGGGGACACTTTTTTGTCAGTTCATCAGGTTTTTGATGACCAGCACTTATTCCAAAACCACACTAAATCCTAATTCACTTTGTTCATATTTGTGATTACTGTAATGGGCTGTCATATTTCATAGTGTGTAGTCTCTAAGACAGGGGTAGGCAACCTTGGCTCTTTTATGACTTCAACTCCCAGAATTCCTGAGCCAGCCATGTTGAGGGGAAAGGGAGAGGTTTCCAAGCTGAGCCACGCTGGCTCAGGAATTCTGGGAGTTGAAGTCCACGAGTCATAAAAGAGCCAAGGTTGCCTACCCCTGCTCTAAGAGATGGTATTAAGTTGAATAAAGTAGTTCTGTGCCTTTGTATATATCATGTTTGGCTGCCTAATTTTTATTGGAGGGTACAAATTTTCCTATCCATTTGTTATTAGAATGCAGGCAGTACATTTTACAGTGTTCTGCACCAACAGAAATTGTAGGGCTAGGTGCAGTATTATAGAAATCTATAGAAGACACTCCTTTAGTAGTGGAGTATATGAATTTGGAATAGTCTATAGTTATTATGAGAAACAGAAATGTTTAATTTGTTACATCTTAAAATGTTAGTTATCTGACATTTTCTCTCTCTCTCTCAGTTTTATTCTTTATATTGTAATATTTTATGATCCTTTTGTCATCAAATCTATGCCTACTCCTACCTTGGTCTTTGCTGTTATCTATTTCAGAGAATCAGATTCCTGATTTCTAATACCAGTTGTGATATTATTGCAAGATTTAATTGATTCTGTAAGGGGGAGAACAAATTTCAAAGATTATTATTACTATGAATGATATACTTTTAAAAGAAACAGTTTTGGCTGTATTAATTCAAAACGGTATGAAGACGTTTACGTTAAATGTAGGGTGAATGATGCTTAAGCTAAGTTTATTTTAATCATGAAAAAATCTGACCTAGTTATTTGTTTTTGTTCATTAAACATATACTATTCTTAATTTCATTCTATTTCTCAAAAAAACATCTCTTTTAAAGTTTTGATCACTGAATCAAATGTAGTTGACCCAGTGACTTAAACGTAGTTTGATTCAGTTAGTAACAGATCTCTGAAATAGGTTAGCTCCCAGTTATACTTGATCAATAAATTTTTGAAGCCTGTATATAAGCCTGTATTTTGTTTGAAAACAAAATTTAAAAGCAGATTTTTATGGCAATCCAAGTAGTTCAAAATAAAGAATCCTATTATTAGTAGAATTCGAAATCTACACCATTGTTATGTGTATTTATTCTACATTCATGTTTACAGGATTTTTTCATCGAGATATGAAACCTGAAAACCTTCTTTGTATGGGTCCAGAACTTGTTAAAATTGCTGATTTTGGATTGGCTAGAGAACTAAGATCTCAACCTCCATACACGGATTATGTTTCCACCAGATGGTAAGTGTGAGTTTTAATGGTGGATTTCACTTATTTTATAAGTCTCTTGACAAGTTATCAATTATCTCTCTTCACCCTTTTCAGGTATCGGGCACCTGAAGTTTTATTGAGATCTTCTATTTATAGTTCTCCGATTGACATTTGGGCTGTTGGTAGCATAATGGCTGAACTATATACACTAAGACCACTTTTTCCAGGAACAAGTGAAGTTGATGAAATTTTCAAAATTTGCCAGGTGTTAGGAACACCAAAGAAGGTAAAGTATTTTGAAAATGTATATTACTACAACTGGTGGGAATAAAATTAAAACGACAGGTAGCTCATGGTTAACGACCGCTCATTCACGAACCATTTGAAGTTATGATGGTGCTGAATGAGTGGTGGCTAAGACTGATCATCAAAGTTCTGGCTGTCCCAGCACCCCCTGGTCATGTGATCATGATCTGAACACTTGAGGGCCTGGCTTTTACTTATAGTAGTTGCAGCACCCCATGATCTTGTGTTTGCAATTTGCAACATTCCCTGCTGGGTTCCCACGAGCAAAGTCAATGGGGAAACCAACAGGGAAAATTGTAAGTTGCTCAGGTAAGTCTTCCACCTCCATGCACAACCGGAGCCCCACTTTGCTCATGCCATACCTTCCCCGCCACTTGCATACCCTCTCTCACAGCAACCAGCCCCTCTGAGCACATGCCATGCCCTTCCGCCAATCGCACACCCTTGAGCACCCTGCATCCAGCAAGCCACTCCAAGTCAAGTTCAGAAGAAATTTCAGAGAAAAACAAAACTGGATATATTCTTTTCTCTAAATCAATTTGGTCATCTCTGCTAGCTTAGTTACTTGTCCACCCATTCTTCCATTGTGGGGATTGACATCATCACTCTTTATAATTAACTTCCCAGTACATAACACAGGTTATCCTTACCGATTGTATGTTCAGAGACTATTCAGTGTGAATGACATCACTGGAAAAGATTTACAACCGGTCTTTGAAGTTGAGGGTATCATAGTGTTTCTGCAGTTAAGTGGTTGCTCTTGGCATATATGAGGGTTACAGTATTCCGCAATCTTGTGATTACCATTTGTGACCTCCACAGCCAGTTTCCAACAAGCAAAGTCAATGGGGAAGTCAGCAGGAAGTCACAAGTCACGGGAAATGTGTACCTTGAGACTTGTAAAATTGATGTCAGCCCTTTCAAGTAAACCAGAAAGGAAACACAACTAGGTGAACTAATTCTACTTTATTGTTAGGCTACATTAATAGATTTTTTTTTAAGTCTGAAGGTACAGATCTCCTGCCATCACTTTTAATCACCAGATCAATGAGGGTGGATCCTTCCTAAGTTTCTTCCTCTAACTGCTAAGACACTGGGGCTTCCCCGTGTTTTGTCTGATAGTTTCCAAGGCAACATATTTTCCCCTCATCTCTCAAAGTCATTCTCACATACCATTACATTTTGTGATTATGTCACTTAAGAGATGGAGTTCCCAGTCACAATTGAGGTTAGTACTTGAGGACCACCTGTGAACAAGTTTGGTTTTTGGTTAAACAAATTAACCAAAAATAATAATTGCAGGCACTCAACAATTAATAATTAAAATGACTTATTTTTGTTTTAAAGACTACTCTTGTTATTCTACTTTACAGAGTGATTGGCCAGAAGGATACCAGCTTGCTGCTGGAATGAATTTTCGATTCCCTCAGTGTGTTTCAATAAATCTAAAGACGCTCATTCCAAATGCCAGCAGTGAGGCATTGTTTCTCATGAATACAATGTTGAATTGGGACCCAAAGAAACGACCTACAGCAAGTCAGGTATGCAGGCCTATGGTATTAGCAATATGGCAATTTTGCTTATCCAGTGAGTATAAGCTATTGCAAAAAATAAATAAATCTCACACTCATTTACAAGCACTTCATCGAAATCAGAAATGGTTTTGTTAGAAACATTTACACAATATACAGAATAATTTTGAAATTTTCTTTAACCAAGTATCAAAAGGAAGGAAAACCTATCATTTCATAAGATTAACTATAAAAGGTATTGCTACGTATTTGAGGTTTTATTAAATATAACAACATGGAAGATGTACTCCGTTGAGAAACAAGAGTTTATGTTTGTGACTGTAGCTGGAATCCAACAAAATCTAGAAGGCTACATGTTTTCTACCCTGCTTTAGGGAAATCGGGAAATGTGCTTGAAATGACTTTATGAATTGATAACTTCTCAAAAGTTATGTGTATGTCTTTCCTTGTTGATCTTCAACAACAACTTCAATTTGTTTCTCAAAGCTTTAGATAAAGAGAAAAAATTGCCTACTGCATAGTTACTGGCTACTGTAGACTGAGCATTTGAGAAAGGTGAACAAAAATAGATTTAAAACAATATTATTAATTACATACCCTTTAGATCAGGGGTGTCAAAATGCCGACCCGTGGGCCAGTTGCATCATATGGAGGCCGCGCCCACCCCAGCTCCGGCAATGCGAAAAAAGTCACGATACATCATGACACGTCACATGACGCGGAGAGTTTAACACCCGTGCTTTAGATGCATAAATGCATTTCCACACACTGAACTTTAAAGGCTCACTCATGATGACGATGATGATGATACTGATGATCAGCAGGCAAACTTACACTTATGCCAGATTGGGGCAGGAATGATGAATTAGAAAATAATTATATTTGACAAGGTATATTGAAGTAGAAATGGGAAGACCATAGGTAAAGTAATGGTTTACACAGAAATTATTAGAATGTTTTTGGAAAATTACTACCGTAATTACTTAGGCATGACGTTTAAGTGGTTTATAGTTTATGGTTAATGGGAGATTTGAACATCCAAGCTTACATTCTTAGTCACTAAACTGCAGTAGTCTTGTTTTCCATGAAACAAACTCTGGTTTGTTTCATTTTGTATGACCTTTCATATACTTTTTTTTTTCTACACTCTATTTGGCAAGACCTTTAGTTACAGACCTTTAGCTACCTTATACTTATTAGTGTTGTCTTTTTCCTTAGGCACTGAAGTTTCCTTACTTTCAAGTGGGTCAGGTTTTAGGACCACCTCCACAATGCATGAATCAGAAACAGCCATATTCCAAGATAACAGAACGGAAACCATCTCTGCCCAAACTTGAACATATATCAAAATTAGAAGTTGTATCTGTGCCAGAATCTCAGACTTCACTAAATGTATCAGATAAGCTACAGTGTCTACCCAAGAATAACCAACATCCCCTCCAGTCAATCCAGCTGCCTCAGAATGCAGTGAGTCAGCAACCATCAGTACAGCAACAGCCTCAGTCGTTCCTTCCAGCCATCAGTAAAAACTCAACATCAGTAAGTTGCACTCAGAAACGACTTATGAACAAGTCTATAATTGCTCCAGAAGTGCTCAGTTCAAACCACTCTGAGAGGTAGTTTTACAATATATTCTTGTGAATTCAAAAGCATTTCATCACATGTTAATGTACAAGTACATCTTGGGTTACTATTTCCTATCTTTTTTTTTTAACCCTGTCTTCATACATCAGTTTTTCTGCACTCTTAACATTCCCCTGCATGAACTATTACAAAATTTCCTTAGTTTTTTCCATTTTTTAAAAAAAAATTCTTCTCCATCTGTAATTTGTGCTGTTTCTGCATACCACAGGTTTTCCCCCTATTTTTCCCCCCTCTAACTATATCTCTTTATCTCCGTTACATACTTTTTTTCTATTGTTAATCCTCTTTTTGTGGCTCTGCTCTTTTTTCTATCCATTCCATTTCCATATCCAACCCTAGGTTAATTGGGCAGCAGCAATGCTCCTGGCATTTCTTTTCTTTCAGAAGAATGTATGATTATAGTGGATCATTATAACTCTCCCTTACAATGTTTGTAGAATATTGTATTTTATACTTTTTTACTGTGAGAAGAAGGCAAGATTTACTTCATTTCTGTATTCAGAGGTCCTTCAACCCCCCTCCCTCCCCCATATTGCAGTTTTTCCAGTTCAATATAGTAATGTAACCAGTGCTTTTTTTGTAAAAAAAATAAAATAAAAAAGGTGCTGGAACTCACACATGTCATACAACCGGCTTTGCCTACCCTACAAGGTTCCATCCAAAAAAGGTGCCGTAACTCCGTTCTGAGCGTTCTATGACAAAAAAAGCCCTGAATGTAACATTCTAAAATATATTGGAAGTAACTTCTAATTTTTTTGTAATCAAAACAGAAACACATAGCCATAGGACCCTCAAACGGTACAATGGGTATGAAAAACAATCGACGCCGGTGGGGTCAAACTATGTTAAAGACAGTGGATGGTTGGGATGATTTTGATGATGCAGACTTTGGAATGTCTTATTTTAAGAAGCCTAGCATTATGGTGTTAAATGAAAAGAAAACAAAAGAATCACTTTTTAGGTAAGGTATTACATTTTTTTGTTATTTGTGATTAATATATTATAGTCTCTCCATCTGGCCCTGATAAAAGTTAAAACGTATGTATTGTATGCTATCTTATATGTAGTTTATATTTTCCCAGTGTGTAGGATTAACTGTGAACTCCTTTTGGAATGTGAATATGATGCCAGTCTCTTAAAGAGGGTGTGGTTAGACTACTTCTAAAGAAACAGACTTAATCTGAAATATGAAAATAGCTACAGTCCATTTGCTAGCATCCTTTGTTTTGTTTTGTTTTTTGACAAAGGTACCTGGTCAAATAGTTAATTACCAGCTCAAAGGTAACTAATTGAATTGATTATCTGATTTGCAACTGACTTGCAACAATCATTTATACTTTGGTAACTCCTTTTTTTTTCTTTTGGACTAATACCATGTTTTATATATGAATGTATTTTCCCCAAATAGTGTAGAATCTTCATTTAATTCAATAGCTACAATGCTAAGTACAAGTGGCTAATCCAGTCACTTTAAGCAATAATGTGCTTGTTTGTTCTTGGGATTGATTCAAAGTACTGGTTTTAATACGCAGTTCTAAATAGCTTCAGCCAGGATACTTGAAAGGGCATCTCCTTCTTTATTAACCTATCCAGATATTAAGGACTCCGTGTTAACACTCAAGGTAAGGTGAGCGGTTACAAGAGAAATGGCTTTTTCTGGTAGCACTTGTTGGATTTTACTGTCTAGAGCAGGGGTCCCCAACCTTGGCAACTTTAAAACCTGTGGACTTCAACTTCCAGAATTCCCCAGCCAGCATGGCTGCCTGGGGAATTCTGGGAGTTGAAGTCCACAAGTCTTAAGGTTGCCAAGGTTGGGGAGCCCTGGTCTAAAGAGAATTGTCCGGGACCTACACTATGGTCATTTCCAGGTGAAGATCTTTTGTTTTTCCCCTGGTGAATGCTTTAAGAACTTTGCTATTTTACTGCTTTTATTACGATTGTTTTATGAGGTATTTATTGTCGTTGTTATTGATGCTTCTTGATTGTAGTCCTGATTCTATATTGTCTTCTATATTGTTTTACATCTTTAAAATAGTGTTTTAATTTATCTGTACATTACCGAGAGGACTGCCACTATTGAACACAATAACAAATGAATTTTATACAGTTATAATGTCAGTAGTTGCTTTAAATGTTGCAGTATTTTATATTAAGGCATGGCATTAGTGGATTCTCTTAGAGGAAAGTCTTAATATCTTTGCCTTATGTCATAAGCAAAGCAAACAAAAATAAGAAAGGCATTTAATGTTACGCCTCTAGATGCAAATAAAATAAAGTAAAATTCTCCATGCTTGTATTTGGAGAGGTTTTTACATTATTTATTATTATACTTAATGCTTAAATTATATATAACGGTATCTGGAAAAGTACATTGCACTGAAGTGACAGGATTGTTTAGGCGTAGCCAAAGATAACTGGAAAGATTTGTAAGTAGATTGTCAGTAATTAATGCTTTGAATTTCCAGGGGAAACGGAAAAAGCTGTTATGACATCTTAAAGACCAAATATTTATAGTGGTGACTTTAAGAAAACTATTGTCAACTATAGTTTAATTACAAGCATATCCAACAGCTTTTTCCCCAGGGCAGCGCAGCTGCAAACTAACGCGTGCATAATGTATTTTCATGTAACCACATTGTGTGAACCAGTGTAATGGCCTGTATTTTTTAGTACAAATAAACACTGTAAAAGGCATAACTGCATGGCTGTGGCCGGAAATCCCTGCTAACCCCTGGAATAGGGAATTGGCACTGGATCAGTGACATGATTAGCCTTTTTAATAGACAATACCTTAAACAAAAAGCAGAAAAGTCCAAGGACATATAAATATAGATACTCCTCGACTTACACCGGTTGTTTGACAACTGTTTAAAGTTAGACTTAAAATGAGAGGAAATCCCTCCATGCACTGGAGCAGGGGTCTTCAAACTTGGCCCTTTTATGACTTGTGGACTTCAACTCCCAGAATTCCTCAGCCAGCCATGCTGGCTGAGGAATTCTGGGAATTGAAGTCCACAAGTCACAAAAGGGCCAAGTTTGAAGACTCCTGCACTGGAGGAACAGACCTCAAATCTGGCAAAAACACTAGCAAATACCATTGTTCTCATGATCCTTCTCTCTGGTTGGGGTTGAAGAAAGGGCCTGGACTCCCCGATATATTGGGAAGCCCATATCCTCTTCTTCTTCCATTATGACTGAGAGGCCCGCTCTGCTTAATGACTGCAACAGGGAGAACTTGAATTATGGTTGTTGAATGAAGCAGTCATGTGGCATCTTTCTTAACCATCCCTTTGCTCAGCGACTTGAGATTCCAGGCCCAGTCGTGGATATAAGTGGAGGACTTACCTGTAGTGATATTCACATCACAATAATTCTCCACAGGATTGGAAAGGATCTGTGTTGCATATGGCACAGTAAAAATGCTGTGTTTTTAAATCAGGATGTGTTCATTTGGGAAATGGCTTTCATATATTTTCCTATCCCATGTCATTTCTTGCTAAGTGGTATCCAACTCTTAGCGGAGTTAAAATGCAGCTGTCCTAAGACCATTAGAAAGCTTTGTTCTTCTAGACTATGAATTAATTTGTGATGTTGCATAATCTTTATTTTCAGCGTTCCTGAGTCTAAGTCTCCTACCTCTGGCAGGTCAGGAGAAAACAAAGTTCTGAAGAGAAACGACTCTGGAATGTCAACTACTTCGGCAAAACAGTACTATTTGAAGCAATCAAGGTATATTCCTGGTAAGAGGCAATTATTTAACACATTGTCAGACTCAGTTAACAAAATGTGTGTGTGCGTGGATATGCAGATGTGTTTGTTTATTTCATTTTTGCTGCCTTTTTGAACTTAAGTGTTTTTCGTTCAGTAATCTCATTCCATGTAATATACACTGCTGTAGCAAATATGAAAAAAAAAATCCACTTTAAGATGTCTGGACACTGAAATAATAAGAGAACAGTTAGCTGATCTGACCAGAGAAGTAATGGTCAAAAATAACAAAGCCCAAGAAAACCAAGTGTCCTGGAGCCCCTCAGGAGAGTAGTTTTCTCCCCAGGTAGGCTTTAATAGCTGCCATTTTGCCTTTGCTTCTTTGTATTTTCTTTTTCAGAGCTGGGTGAAGCAGGGTAAGAACAAAGCCCTAAGCCAGTAGTAACTGGCCTAGCCCAGGGGTAGGCAACCTTGGTTCTTTTATGACTCGTGGACTTCAACTCCCAGAATTCCTGAGCCAGCCATGCGTTTCTTTAAGGATTATTTTTTTTTCAAATATGGATCTAAAATTAATTTCAATAGGAAGTAATGGCTCTTTTTTATACTTCCTGTATTCATGAAGTGGCCATCTAGCAAAGAATATACTGTGATCGCCTGAGCTATTGATAGACATTAACCTTTAATGTGATAATTTCTTAAAGGTGTAAATCCTAAGAATGTTTCCTCAGGAGCAGTCACTAAAGAAAGAATCCATGGTACTTGCAACAATCCTTTGTTTTCAAAATCAATAGCACCAATTGGAGGTCTGTCTTTCAATCAAGTCAATGCAGGTAATTAATGTAATTCAGTACTACACGCCCTATCTTGTTTTTAATGTATTTTACAAAATTTATTCTTTTTTCCACAATTATTTTCAAGTGTAATGCCCTTTCCCAGTTTAATATGCATAGTTTTGAATAGTGGTTTGGATTCACACAGAGATGATCACAACATACATGCAACCAGAAGTTGTTTCTACACTTGATGACATTTCAGTTTTTCAGTCGTGAAAAATACATACTGAGGTTCACAAGAGATGATCCCTCTTGCTTGAATGGGTATAAGTGATGTGTCCAAATGGATAAAGTAAGAGAGTGTGTGTATGTGCTTATATGTTTAGATAATTAGGATGTGTAACGTTCTTGCTAGATGGCATAAATAGATTAATTGAATTTAAGTCATAGTTGTGACACTGTTATCCCCCCCCACATTACCGATTTCATTTTATTCTACGCAAGGGTATATATTAAATGTAATGTTGATCATAGTCTGGAAGGGCTTTTCTTTTGTAGCCAATAAAAATTACCGATATACCGTGTTCATGTAACAAATTCACTTCCATCCGTTCTTTCAATGGCTTGAAACCAGGTCAGAGAAAAAAGTAGAAATTTCCAAATTAAAATACGCCACACATATACAGGTAGTCCTCGTGATTAACTGCAATTGGTTCTGGTGAAATGCTCACTAAGTGGCATAGTCTTTAAGCAAGCCACGTGGCAGAAAGAGGGAGATGCTGTGAAGTTCACTGGTTGCTGCTGTTGCATTCAGATAAAGTCCTGTGGGGTCGTTCCTTGTGCCTGGCTCATGTTTGTCCCCCTGGTAAGGCAGAGAGATTGCTTAAAGAAGCCATCTCTTCCTGAACTGTTCTTCTCCCCAGCAGAGTACTTACCTAAAAGATGCTAAGGGCAAGTTAAGAAGCTCGTCTTTGTGACCTTAATTAGTTGATTAGACCCCTCTAGTCGCTGCCTAAAATTGACCAGGGACTATCAATATCTCATTAAAACAAATCTCCTACATATCATCGTCATACCCACAGAACAACAACATGTGTAAAGAGCTCAGACAACATTCCCACCCAAGTTTCCTTCCATTCCTCGCTGTCTTCTTGATACGCCATCTCATCTCCTAGTTTGCCTGGTTTTTTTTTTCTTTCTTTCTTTTCATTCCCCAAAAGCTGGGAATGCTTCAAAAAAAAATCATTTCTACTAATCTAAAATGCATATATCTCATTTGGAATTTATAATAAAACATGGGTCTAGGGTTGCTGTTTTTAAAATTGATCTTGTCTGTAGGTAGGAAACTAATTGGCAAAGCTTGCTTACACTTTATTTTCAGATTTGTTCCTTTTTATTATTTCTTATGCCTATTGTTTCTTCCATTCATTTCGTCCAGCTTTTCTGTTTTTCTAAAGCATTTATTTTCATCCTTTTCTTTCATCTGTTTTATTGCCTTCTCTGAAGAAGAAAACTTAATTAAACCAATTGAAAAACTCTCATGCAAAGAAAGAGTGAATGAAAAATTAGAGGATCCCAAAGGTAATGAATGGCAATTACATACAGTATAACATGATTTATTCCCTTTTAGATTTGTTCTGTTTTTAACTAAACATAATTACAATTAACTTTTCAGTAGGCTATAAAATCTACAATACTTTGGTTTAGCAGTTTTATGTATCTAGAAAATCTTCCTTGTGAAAAAGTTTTCTTTTACATAAGCATTATGATATTTAAATTGTACTGTTTTGCATCAAGTACAATGTATCAGGTAGAGTTGTTATTGTGGTGATTTGATAAAAACTCAGATGTCCATTTCCTGCATATCTGCAACATGTTTTAATTATGGAGAATTTTTGTTCTTTGAATGGAATATCATTTCTGTTTCCTTTTGGGCTGCTACATTCCAGTAACATTTGCGACTTTGAAAGATGAATTGCATTGAACTTGGGGTAGGCAACCTCGGCTCTTTTATGATTCATGGACTTCAACTTCCAGAATTCCTGAGTCAGCATAGCATAGCTGACTCAGGAATTCTGGGAGTTGAAGTCCATGAGTCATAAAAGAGCCGAGGTTGCCTACGTAGATCATATTGTTATGAGTAATATACAGGACATTTAGATTGAATTGTAAAGAAAGACTTCTTAAATATGTAAGCTTTTAATGAAGACATTTGTTTCTGGCTGGTTGCTTTCATGTGCTATGCAGAGAAGAAGATACAGGTAGACCTCAACTTACAACAGCTCATTTAATGACCGTTCAAAGTTACAACGGCACTGAAAAAAATGTGACTTATGACTGTTTTTCACAGTTAAACGACCTCGGCAGCATCCCCATGATCATGTAATTAAAATTCAGATACTTGGTCAACTGGTTCATATTTATGACCACTGCTGTGTCCCGGGGTCATGTGATCACCTTTTGCGACCTTCTGACAAGCAAAGTCAGTGGGGAAGCCACATTCATTTAACGACCGGGTTACTAACTTAATTAACTGCAGTGATTCACTTGACAACTGTGGCAAGAATGGTCGTAAAATGGGGCAAAACTCACTTAACAAATATCTCCCTTAACAACAGAAATTTGGGGCTCAATTGGGGTCGTAAGTCAAGGACTACCTGTATTTGAAATATTTTTTGACCAAAGGGATGTAGTTGATAGACTTAATTGGTTGGCAAGTCATAAGAAGCCTTCAGGTTACTTGCTTTATTGCAGTTTTCAGAATGTGAGGAAAAGGGATTTGCATTTTCCAGTAGATTTGCATACCTCTCACATTTATTTTACTCTTCTTAAGCCTAACACACATCCCTGACCTTTTGTTGAAATTTTGCCACCACATTTAAATGAAGTAATCTTGGGATTCTTCCAATGTCACAAATGGTAACGTGCCACCAAACAGGTTTGTGCTACCCAAAAACTATGGATATATGATTTCACCTCATTTGATATAGTAATCATTTATTTCTTTATAATGCCTGATACTTTCTAGATTATGGTTGGCACGCATCCATATTCTTATGATCTTCCTTCTCTAAATCTACAACATAGAAAACACACAAAGACGGAAGAGATTTGTATGTTTATGCAAATTTCCCCATAACACTTACTAAAAGCAAAATAATATACTCACCATTCTGTTTGCCAAAAACATTGCTGTCGAACGTTACACACATAACGGTTGTGTATTTTTATGTATTGTGTCCATAAGAGTACTTGCTATCATGCTGTTATTTGTAAAGAAACCTGTACCAGCAATACTGTGTGTGGTCGCTGATTGTTAGCTGTTCCATTTCATCCTTTAAGTCCTAATTTGATTTTCTTGAGAAAGGCAGCACTTTTAACTTTTATTGACATCCTTGCAAAGAATAAGCAGTTCTTCTGCCTGGACATCATATGTATTTTAAAAAGGGTCTCCTTGGATGACACTGTGTAGTCATTAAATAATTAAATTTGAATTGGAGTATAAATCATACATAGATTATAATTTCTTTAGCTCTCCCCCCCAATCTACCTGGATTGACACATTGTTGCTTTATTGTGCTTGTTTGGAATTCAGAAGCAGAAGCAATCTCAATGGAATAGTCTTCTACAGTAGTGGCCAAAATTGTGGAAAACTTTTGGGAAAAGTATACAGTAGAAATGCCACCTTTGG